CGTCTTAAACCATGCTCGATAAAAAGATGTTTTCCTAAAGTTACAGGTTTAAAAATTTCAAAGTAAAACGTTTAATTATGTATCCCTTACCCACACACTTACGTATCTACAGCACCAGGAAAAAACTACCTACATATAAAGTACAAACTCCCACAAACACATCTAAAACTCACCTGAAGATAAAATCAAGTTGGGCTCGTCCAGAGACGACTCGACACCTCTGCGATTGACGGCCGTATGATAAATTACTTTTATTAGTGGATTTGTCATGGGAGCCATCGATCAAAACCCATAACGATCGAACAACGAACTTATATCGTTAAATCCAGATTGATTTGGGAATCTGGGCCGGTAGAACATTTTTATGTTTGTATTGGACTATTATTTTGTTAGGGGTTTCATGTTCGTTCATGGGTGTGTCAAGTCAATCTGTCGTCTTAATGCATGATACTGTGCAGAAGATGTAGGTATTAATCGCGCGCCTCTCGTACACACGGGTAAACGCGCGTTCTCGTACACACGGGTAAATATTTTAATAGAAAAGCGAATTAACTATTCTGATCAATCAATTAAAGAACGTAGTGCAAACTTGAAAATATACGTCAGAGAAAAAATATCCAATCGGTGCGCGTTTCTCGTACACCCGTGTGTACAATTGCGCGATGGGCACTCAACTCTCTCCTACACCCGTGTGTATGAGAAACACGCGAGAGGTTAAACTAAAAAAATGGTGGTTGGAGATTAAACTGTCAAACACCAAGCGGTCACCGGTGAACGCAACCTATTGTTCTATAATTGTGTCTACAAAACCGGTACTCGACGAGTTAATTGACTAGTAGATGTCAAAATTTTGGTGTAATCAGAAGGAGACCTTTATTCTGAACACCACAACATAACTATTTTAGTCTTCCTATAAAAACCTATAGTTTTAGAAGGCAAAAAATATTTATATAGTCTCATAAATTTAAGGAACTAATTGTAATAATAATTATTATTATTATGAAGATCTTGATTACGAAGGTACTGTTCTTATTCTCATTGACTTTTACCCGCGACTTTACCCGCGTATGCCTTAATCCATTGTAGCAATTAGGTAATCGGAATAAAGAGTACTATCACCTAAGTCAGTCCATACCCTGCCTGTAATGTGTGAATCTGTTCAGTATTTTCAGCATGATTGACGAACAAACATTCATACAAAGGAAATTTAACATTTATAATATAAGTGTGATTTATATCAAAAAAATATTCAAGAATTCTGAAACCAAATCTCTAGGCATCGTAACACCTGAGGTTTCGAAGACTCACCACAAATAATTAGGTTACCCCACAATATCTCCAGGGTGTTGTAAAACGAAAGCAACGCCGAGCAAGGGATTTTCACCAGCTGTTGTGGTAAGTCAATTAACCTGGATAATCATGGTAAATGGTGAAACTGCTACCTTTTTCATGGTAACATTTTCAATAACACCCTAAAGGCAGTTTATGGAAATAGGTAATCCTATTTCTCCTGTAATTATATAATTTCTGTTTGGTATTATGGCTTTTTAAAAAACCCATTTTGAAATGACCACCTAGCTTCACTGACGGACTGACTGACAGACTATTATTTATTTTGTATTTGTTGACGTTGCAAAAGTACTTAATTATGGTTTACTTAATTGGAATAAATGCTTGGACTTTGACAAAAAAAATATGTGAAGATTGCAAAATGGTATCTACCTCTACTATATATAGAGGTACATTGTGTCTTCCACTAATTAAACACCCTGTAATAATTGTCAAAACAAAGCTAAGAAAAAACAATCGTTCTTATATTTTAAAAGCATTTATTATCTTCTACTCAAAATAATATTCTATTTTAATTCTACTATCAACATCGATACAAGCAAACTATTAAATTAAATGATTATAACACCAATTACCATTAAATAGCCTCTCTTTTAGCTTGTAAACTAATTCATACACTGACCGCTAATTCTGATACTATCGACACCTAATTATTTTAATACATTTATCTATTGTTTTCCTAATATTCTAGCTATAATATTTTAACATGGTAATGTGTGCATAATTCTCTAGTAAATAGGTCTATTTTTGATTAGCAGCATCAAGGTCTGATGTAAACTAATTTAGCATTAATCTGTAGAATACTTAATTAAAATTATTTGCAATTACGTTAGGAAGATAAAGTATGGAAAGCAATATAATGGCTTTGATGACTGAGAAGTTTAGGCCGGTAACGTACTTGTAACGTTTCTGGACTTCCAAGTGTCCATAGGTGACGCCAATTACTTGCCATCAGGTGATCCATCGACTCGTTTACAGGCTTATTCCATAAAAAATACTAATTTAAAAAAGAAATTCAGAATCTTATTAATAAAAAATTAACTACTTTAGAAGCTGCAGAGAGATATTGAGTTATATCCACTAAATACAGCTATTGTTACTATTTTTCTAGACTATGAACTATGAATATTGGTAACTAAATCAGCTGCAAGCTTTTATTTGTCATATCTTGTGCTGAAATCAAAATCTTCTCAAATAAAAAATAATATCTAGTATAATTTTTGTTGTTTTCTTTTTTTTTACTTTCGTTTTATTTAATAGTTTAGTTGTAGTTAATTTTAAGTTGTAAATATTTATGTAGTTATATTTATATAATTATATTTAAATTAAATTATTTTATCAGACGGACATTAAAACAATAAAAAATTAATGGCACATTTGAACATCTAAATTACATAAATAATCTAAACATAATAATATCCGTCGTCTGTCACTAGTGAAGAATGTATGTATGTACATACCTACTGGTTCTTAAATAAATATATTTTGAAATCTAAAGTTTGTGCGTATTATTTAGGATAACTTTATTTCGCTGGTTCTCCCACGTATGGCGTAGTACCGGTCCAGGTTATTTTTGCGTCTTGCCACCTATAACAAAATATACAACACTAAATTAATTTCTTAACATTATATTATTATTAACTTATCGTTCGTTATTGGTTCGAAACCTACCAACAGCAAGTAACAATGTGACTTTTTCTGAGTTATACATATGTATGTACTTTTTTTTCTTCTAGGTTCTTTCTAAAATTATTTGGATACCAACTGACAAAGTCATTCACATGAACAAAGTCACGAGAAAAAGCTAGTTAGGAATACAATTAAGAAGAATTTGATTTTGTTCAAGCTCTCGATAATGAATGTACAAAATTTTGTTATATAGTACATAAAACTTCCATACATAATTAAAAGTTACTAATAAATATGTAAACTGATACAAATATCAGCTGAAACTTTAGTTTACAATCTTCTAAAACCATGTATTTTGTTAAATAAACGTTAATTATTTTGTAGGCGTAGCTTCCCAGTTGCTACGCTGGTACTGTAGTGGTAAATTTTACTATGATCTATCTTCAATTTTAGTCTCGGGTACATAGGCATACGCGTATTGTTATTTTGTCTCAACATAACATCACGCCTTTTATCACCGAAGGCTACCCCTTCGGTGATAAAAGGCGTGATGTTATATTATGAACTCAAAACCACTTGCTTGGGAGTCTGCTTGCGATCACTCGACCGACTATTATTAAAATAACATAACATAAACATAACGTAACATCACGCCTTTTATCCCCGAAGGGGTAGGTAGAAGTGCACATTATGGCACTGTAAAATGTAACACCCACTTTTCACTATTTATGTTATGAGTCCCATGCAATAAGGGGCGAGCCTATTGCCATATATCGGGCACAATTCCAGACTCCGTGCTATTACTGAGATTTTTTTTTAAAAACCCATGCCCGACCCGGTAATCGAACCAGAGACCCCTTGCGCGGCAGTCGCACTTGTGACCACTCGGCCAACGAGGCAGTCATTTTGTCTCAAGTTATAAGATATATAAGACTCATCACTACGTAGTATATAACAAAGTCGCTATTCGCCGTCTGTCTGTGCCTATATATCTTTAAAACTACGCAACGGATTTTCGAAAATCCGTTTTGATGATCCGTGTTTCTTAAGAAAGGTTTATATGTATAAGACAGTTTATGCGTCGAGTGGTTGCAAGACGATAATATGTATGTACAGGGAATGGAAGGTGAAGATGTACATGCTTATAAAATAGTAAGTGACAGCCACTTTTAACTAGTTATGTTGTCTCGCATAACAGGGTGTGAGCTTATAGCCCATGTCCTAATACCGACTTATCTTATTAATTCTTTGCCCGAGCTAGAAATCGAACTCAAAACCACTTGCTTGGTAGTCTTCTTACGATCACTCGACCGACTATTATTAAAATAACATAACATAAACATAACATAACATCACGCCTTTTATCCCCGAAGGGGTAGGTAGAGGTGCACAGTATGCCACTGTACAATGTAACACCGACTTTTCACTATGTTATGAGTCCCATGTAATAGGGGGCGAGCCTATTGCCATAAATCGGGCACAATTCCAGACTCCGTGCTACTACTGTGAATTTTTGAAAAACCCGGTAATACTTTGCCCGACCCGGGAATCGAACCCGAGACCCCTTGCCCGGCAGCCGCACTTGCGACCACTCGGCCAATGAGGCAGTCGACTATTATTATTAAAGCAATAAAAAAGCAAAAAGAAAAACGGTAAATATCATTTACTTCGTATGTATCAATTTCTCAAGCGGTGTAGCGCTGATGTCATCAGTTCGTAGAGTCCCAACCGCGTCATCGTGAGCCCGAGTGTCCACATTCAACAGAACGTTGCAACCGCCACAAGTGTAGTAGTGAATATCGAACCTTAAAACCGAGAAATGAGAGTCCAAATTACATTGTTGGAAGAAAATGTGAGGATATTATTTAAAGTGTAATTGCGAGGTTTTTATGTGATCGAAGGGTTTCGTTTGAAGGTATATTGAGTTCATTTTAGTTGATTGAAAACAAAGTACTGAAAATCTCAATCTATCGATTTCTACCATACGTTTTTTATTACGATTTTCGTTCAAATACCAGAATAAATTGAAGAACTAAAGAAAATATTTGAAAGCTGCAATATATCTACTAAAAAAAAATTTAATACCTTCGTTCAGCATGATAGTTTCTAAGCAGTTCACGATTTGTGTTAAAGAGGACCCCGTAGTGCCCGGAGCAACTGGTAACCTGAAACACAATGGAATTCATAATAGCCTCTTACTTCTAAAACTCATAGTTGCCTAATCCAAATAATTAATAACCACTCATCTATATAGAAAGACAGACAAAACTGTAAGTATATAGAATTGAGTCACGCGTTACTTTCCATGCTTCACTAACATCTAGACTCGCAGAAGCTTCAGCGGAATAAAACTAAATATTTTCTCAGTTGTTATAATTTTACAGTATTGTTTTCTAATGCGTCTTATGTTCTTTACATTTCCTACAATCGTTTTTATTAAAATTTTCGTGAGACATACTAAATTAAGTGCACCAGCACACCAGTAGCAGCGCGACAGTTGCGGCGTAGCGTATCGCGGAATGCTGCTCATGATTGTAATGAGCCTAGTATAGCATGGCGTCCCGTCCGACCAGAAACAGACCCGAGCGTACGGCGCGTCGCGTTCCGCGCGCGCCTCAAAGAGCCATCAGACCACCACAGATGGGGCCCAATAGGGCCGATGCCAATTCGGAGTCGCGGAGAACCTAACGGGTAACCGGGGCTCCGGCTCGACGTGCAGGAGAAGGAACGGGGTGGTTTTTAGTCAGTAAGAGTCTGACACTCCCTCCCGCCTCACCCAGGCGGGAGTAGTCATTTGATGATTTTCCACCCTTAAAAAAAAAAGTCTAGCATGGCGTGATACTAGTTGAGTTCCTCGTCAAACAGTTACGTGAATAAACCGACAATATAATAATTAATTTTCTACGAAGACCCATAAATCGGTAATTACAAAACTTGTATTAACATGATTGCCATAAAATTACGATAAGTGTCCACTCACCCAAATAGGAAGAGCTGGAGTCTTCAACCTGGATCCAGGAAACTGCTTATTGATATTATTCTTGGAGTTTTCTTCCCCTCCATACCATACTAAAAGACCAACTGGACTACGAGACAGTATCCCAAATTGGGGCATGGCCTACAATAAAAATGACATATCAAGAAAAGGCTAATAAGATCTGGATTTAACGCAATAGTTATTGAAACAAACGGCAACTAGAATCTGGAACTAATAATATTATAAAAAATAATATTAAGGGGAACAAACAACGAGTCCTTGAATTTTGACAATGTTTGTCTCTTATCAGTTCATTGGATTTGTTTCAATTAATTTCGAACTTCTTATACTTTTTAAATCGTTTTAAGCATGTTGCGTACTTCAAATTATTTACATGTTTTTATTTGTAAGTTTTCTTAATAAGATAATAAGGTTATCGACTACACCAGATTTTTTATTTCATTCTTTTTTCTTCATTGTGGGAGAGCCATGCTTCGGCACGAATGGGCCGGCTCGACCGGAGTGATACCACGGCCGAGCAGAAAACCGACGTGAAGCAACGCTTGCGTTGTGTTTCGTCGTGTGAGTGAGGTTACCGGAGGCCCAATTACCTTCCCCTTCCCCAATTTCCCCAATCCCGGAATCCCCAACGATCCTCAAACTCCTAATCCCCAAAAAGCCGGTGACGCACTTGTAACGCCTCTGGTGTTCCAGGTGTCCATGGGCGACGCCGATTGCTTACCATCAGGTGATCCGTCTGCTCGTTTACCGGCTTATGGCATAAAAAAAAAAAAAATTCATTTCAAAATTCGGCTACACAATAGGAGCAGTTCAGAATGTTACATAATTTTATGCTCCTACCGAAATATTCTATTTTCTCAGAAATATAATAATTATAACAATATACTCACATAATGATCTTCATCACCAACATACAGGACGCCATTATGAAGATACGGAGTTGCGCGACCGGTGAGGAGCAGCGTCACCACATTTATAGATCCTTCTACGTGCGCTGAGACCAGGTGGGTAATCTTACCGTCCAGGTCTTTCTTTATACTGGCCAAAGGAAAATAAATTATTCCATTTATTTGACAACAAAGCTGTTTAACTAATAAAATATATGAAAATCATGTCGTACTATAGGAATAATATAAAAAGCATATCCGTGTAAGTATCTTCTAGAATAATGTTAGTTGAATTTTCTGAATTTGAATTTCACATGGAACTGTGACAGTTCTTGTATTATTTCGTATGTATTCGATAAAAGGAACCATTAATATACATATTATTATCGTTATTGGTTTAAGAATCTCGTGGTGGCCGAATTCGGTCATGGTGGTCGGGTTCGAATCCTACCAACAGCAAGTACCAATCTGACTTTGTCCGAGTTATAATTATGTACTTTCTAAGATTATTTAGACATCACTGACAATCGGTGAAAGAAAACGTCGTGATGAAACCTGGATTTTATAATTTATAATTAGCTTAAAACTTGCCAACCTGCATTGAGCAAGTGTGGTGATTATTGCTGAAACCTTTTCCGTGTGAGAAGAGGCCTTTGGTCAGCAGTGACCACTTATAGAATTGCTGTTATGTTGTTGTATTGATAGTTAATGATTTAACTCGTCGAGTACCGTCATTATAGACACAATTATAGAACAATAGGTTGCGGTCACCGGTGACCGCTTGGTGTTTGACAGTTTAATATACAATCATGGTGATTATATACAACAGTTAAATGACTTACTTATCGCAACCTCTCGATAAAACACAAGCATACAGCAAGAGCAATGCTCCAACACCGTCCTCGGTTTGAAACTGTAAACATAATTAATAGTTGTTTATTGACTACAATAATTTTATTATAATAAATGTTACAATGTATAAGAAGGATGTATTGTACATATCGCACATACTTTAACTTTTATTATTTAATGCATTTACTGACTGCCTCGTTGGCCGAGTGGTCGCAAACGCGACTGTCGGACAAGGGGTCTCGGGTTCGATTCCTGGGTCGGGCAAAGTATTACTGGGTTTAAAAAATTCTCAGTAGTAGCACGGAGTCTGGAATTTTGCCCGGTATATGGCAATAGGCTCACCCCCTATTACATGGGACTCATAACATAAATAGTGAAAAGTGGGTGTTACATTGTACAGTGGCATTAAGTGCCGTAATTTGCACCTCTGCCTACCCCTTCGGGGATAAAAAGGCGTGATGTTATGTTTTTGTTATGTATGTATTGTACACACTCACTCACACTCTAAATGTAATTTGCTTTTATTATTTAATGTATTTCTCTAAATCCAAATAGAATAACTCTTGGTATTGTTATGTATCTATTAAATAAATGTATTAAACTCACACTTACCAAATACAAATATCGCTTCAGAAATATTTGAAGATCCTCCAAACTAGTGAATTCGAACATATGCAGCTTGTAACAGAATTTCATTTATGAAAACATCTGAAAATAAACTGTATCTTTAAAGAATTGAATGCTTTTATGAATAGTAATATATATTCTGACTTGCATTTAATACGTTTTGTATTCTTTACCCGTAACTAATAAGTTTTTTTTTGACGTTGCCCCACACTAGGATTTTGTCCTATGTCGTGGGTGCCTTTTTTTTTTTTTTTTTATAATATTAAAGATTATTTCTCCACGGACTCTAGGTCCGTGCCCTTGTCATACAGTTTTTTAATTATAATACATCTAGTCAATATTTATAAAGTAAAGAGGGAACCTAGTTACATACTACAATTAACTACATCTATAATTATTAGCAAAAGTATAGGTTACATAATAATTAGGCACTATTTATTTATTTCTATTTGGGTGCCTTTACAAACATACAATATCACATACACGGAACAACAATCTGTGGAACACACAAAGAGTTGTTCCGTGCAGGAATCGAACCCGCGACACGTTGCGTGGCAGCCAGTTGCCCAGCCACCGCGCCAACATTGCAGTCAAAAAGTGTAGACCAAGACACTAGAAACGTTCTTTAATAAGAATGAATCTTTTAATCTGATGTCTTAAAACCAAGGATACACTAGGGGACAATTATTGTACCACGACATGTATCCACGGCATATCTAGCAAAGCCGGCCGTTATCACCTGTCATATATGGCGATAATGCACGAGGAGGAGACCTGTGTCACACTATGTTGCCAGACATGTCGACCATAGTCTAGCAACGTCGCGCTACTTCACCCAACGCCGCTGGCGACACGTGTCGCAGGATATTTTGTCCCTTAGTGTATCCTCGGCTTGAACCTACCTAACAAACATAGATATATGGCAATACCCTCATAGTAAGAGGACATCCATAGTCTAGCATTGGACTGTCACGTACGTTTTTATCAATATCATAATTTAAACTATACCTTCTCAGTAACTCCGTCTTGGTAATACTGAGAACTGTGTTGGACATAACAGTGGTCCGTTGGCAATGCTACCACTGCCTTGGGTTCCACTCCAGCCTGACCGGAGTTTCCACCACCACATCGCCAGATCACTTCGCTGCACGCACGCCATAAGGCTTCCTCTTGACGGTCTTCCGAAGGCCGGAGATACCTGAATGAACACACAAACGTTGTTTCTCTAAAAAACAAATTAGATTTTTTTATCGTACCAAGTGTTTGCCTCTTTTATATTAGAACTGAAGTGTAATCGGATAAAAATTTATAATTATGATGTGTTTTTTTTCATTTTGAACAACTTTTGTAGATAAACTAATAAACTAGAATAAAATCATTTGTATATCCATTGGCAAATAACATTGGTTTGAAAGCTCTAAGTACATACCTTTAATGAACATTTTTCAATGACAAGATTATCTCTTTTACTATCTACACTTGTACAATAATTCACTAAATATCATCAATATCTCGTAAATACAACAATCATAATACACCATCAAATTTTTGATAAAGTAAAATGATTAATCAAAACAGATTTACGTCTGAATGAGTTCAGACGATAAATTTTCAATGGATCCCCTTCTTAGCCATTACAATAAATTACAATACTGTTAGTGTAATCCGACTTTGGTAACAAATTATTTCGAAATATTCTATTATTACGCCAAGACGACCATATTATTTAAAACAAATGGTTTATTATTCTCTTGAATGGGGTATTTTCGTGAACATGCCAGACCCTTTGTCTGATCGTGTAAAGATCTATGAGTATTGTCTGGCCTAGACTTTCAGTTTGCCGAGCGAGATTTTTATCATATTTCTTGGTATATAATTCCATAAAAATACGTTAAAATACACGATTGTCTTATCTTTGAAGACCAATTAGAAATATTCATGTGGTCTTTGTAAAGTTTTTGAATAAACGCACATATAAATATGACGGTCATATTCAATACTAAAATTAAACCTTAATGAAATGTGACTTCATCGTTGGTCGAGTGGTTACAAGTGCGATTGCTAATCTTAGTCGTAGCTGTGTACATGACATTATATGGGACTCATAACATAAATAGTGAAAAGTGGGTGTTACATTGTACAGTGGCATTAATTGCCGTAATGTGCACATCTACACCCCTCCGGGAAAAAAGGTATGATGATATATTGTGTAAAATGTAAAACAACAAAATATTTTCGCTAACCTGAACTTAAGAATCGAATACTAAACTTTACATCAACAACTAGCGCAAACACCGTTCAGAACTCACAATATTACAATAAAATCTACTTCTCCTTCAATAATATACGGGATATTTGAAATATACAGCGATGCCGATGGTGGGACCATAAAATCGACCATTTGAACTAAAATATTGTTCGACGATGCATAGTGCAGATTTATGCCAAAACACGTGGCGTACTCTAGAATTATGATCGGCATTTTGAAGCAATGCTGTATGCCTTTGCGCACAGAATTGCTGGATTATTAAGAGGAACGATAATAATTATTATTGTAAATATCATAGAGGTAACTAAGAATAACACTAATATTATAATTTGTGAAATATTCTTTGTTTGGATATTTGTTCGCTGAAACTACTGCACGGATCTTGACGAAATTTGGTGTACAAGCAGGGTATTTTTTCTTTTTTTTTTTAAATGGGGGAAAATCATCGAATGGCTGCTCCCGCCTGGGTGAGGCGGGAGGGAGTGTCAGACTCTTACGGACTAAAATCGACCCTGTTCCTTCTCCTGCACGTCGAGCCGGAGCCCCGGTTACCCGTTAGGTTCTCCGCGACTCCGAATCGGCATCGGCCCTATTGGGCCCCATCTGTGGTGGTCTGATGGCTCTTTGAGGCGCGCGCGGAACAAGCAGGGTATAGGCTGACTTAGTTAATAGAATGTACATTTTATCCCTATTCAATGTCGCGGAGAACCTAACGGGTAACCGGGGCTCCGGCTCGACGTGCAGGAGAAGGAACGGGGTGGTTTTTAGTCAGTAAGAGTCTGACACTCCCTCCCGCCTCACCCAGGCGGGGGCAGTCATTCGATGATTTTCCCCCCTTAAAAAAAAAAAAAAAAAAATCCCTATTCAATGCTCCCATGGGATAAAACAGGAATCATATTCTACACAGACCAAGTCGCGGGCAACAGATAACAATGAATTATTTTACGGACTAAAGGAATTTTAATTGAGTTGGCACGTCAATTACACTTTCCGATCTTACCTATTTTTAAATTCTCCCTTAGTACAATCCATTATTAAATAGGTTTGTACTAGGAATCACAAAATTCCGATAATATTTTACCTACCCAGAGATTACCTTAATCAAGGAGACAAACCGATTAGTAATAATATTCATATTAAAATCAGAACTATTGAAATAATTCTGAAGCCCTGCTGTAACAAAAGTTTATAATTTCAAACAAAAGGCGGGTTAAAGTTTTAAGCCGTATCTACAACTATGGAATAATATTACCAATTAATACATACGGTTTAAATGATTGTTCGCTAAAATTTTAAGCTTTGCCAACCCAACCGTTTGTTAGTCGTAATTCAATAGAATGACCAATTCAATTAGCTGCCGTGTATTATTTCATTCCTCATTTATTTTACTTGGTTGTAGCAGTGAAAAACATTGTTCATTTATGATTGTTTAATGAGGATATTAAGCAAATACCAGTAAAAATATATGGATTAGTGATAATACTGGTATGGTAGATGTCCGACCCACACGCACTTAGCGCTTCGCATCAAGATTCCTTGTGCGTACTGCGAAGGAGTGGAATTCTTTACCAGAGTGTATTTCCTGAAGGGTATAACCTGGGTGTCTTTAAGGTCCGAGTGAATATGGTGCTTCTGGGACGACGTGCTTTATCGTAGACCGCATCATCGCTTACCGCCAGGCGAGATAATGGTCAAACGTCGGCTCATCAAATATAAAAAAAACTATCAATTTAAGTATATATTTTCTGAAGTTGATATAAATGGATGAGCATCTAATATGACATGTACTATACCTACTTAAAATTATACGCAATTTGATGATACTGGAATTAATTATAAAAAACTTTAATGTAGGAAAAGGATCAAAGACATCATAGCACTACAATCACCTCAACACAGGGGTAGTCTAAAATTTTTACGACAGACAAGCAAAAACTTGACACTGTTCAAGACTAACTATAAACCTAGACAGAGTCATAAAATTCCCTAAAAGAATACCACCCTTCTACTTAAAGTCAACAGCACCGCAAACCATTGATATCAAAGGCGTAAATATTTTTATATCCCGTTCCTCAAGATAACCGCTTCACCACTAGAGAAGAGCGTACTTCCAAACGGGCATCGTTTATTATAACCAGGCATGAGTATGAGAGAAAACGCTTGTTATTCTTACACCAAACAGCTTCGGGTTAAAACAATATTGTAAGCACATTTTTATATGATAGATTGATGACATAATGTTTTCTCTTTTATTAAAATACTAGCTACTTCCGCGCGGTTTCACTCGCTCTGCTTGGCGCCTATTAATCGTAGCGTGATATTATATAGCCTATAGCCTTCCTCGATAAATGGACTATCTAACACAGTAAGAATTTTTCAAATCCGACCAGTAGTTTCGGAGATTAGCGCGTTCAAATAAAAAAAAAAACTTTTCAGCGTTATAATATTAGTATAGATTTATTTGGTTATTAATATTTTGTCATTGGATTTTGTTTGTAACATGATACTATGACAACGATCAGTTGTATCTGGAATTTACAATTTATGGAAATCGGTTAATGTAAAACAATTAACTACAATCTTTTTTATTTTAATCTTCATTGATCTTCTAGGTACTTCTTTTTAATCTGCGTGTATTTTACATCGTTGCTCCACGCTAGCGTTTTCTCGTGAGTCGTGGGCGCGTTTATAAACATACAAGTTTACATACACATGACACCCAGACAAACCCAGAAAAGCCAAAACAACAATTTGTGGATCACACAAAGAGTTGCTACGTGCGGGAATCGATCCCGCTAAACATTACGGGTCAGCCCAGTTACCGCAACAACCGTGCAGTCAAACATCGAATCAAAACGAAACAATAAAGATGCGAAACAATAATATATTTTCTTCTTTCATTCTCCCCTATCAGACACCATCCAATCACAAACTCCTTTCTCTTTCATATCTCTCTCTTTATACAACCTATTCATCTTTTATTTAGTCGTCCTTATCTTTTCTATTCTTCTCTCTTCTCCTTTGATAATCAGCAGTCCACTTACCTTTCTTCTAATGATTTTCCTCTTCTCTCTTTATCAATAAAATCTACTTTCTTCTTTTACGTTTTCCTTAACTCGTACTGAGTACAGTCTGAATGTATGACGTCTTCATATACCATTACTATGAAGACTTCATATACTATTACTATGCCATTCAGACTGTACGATGGACTCGAGTATTGTCAGTACCTTAGTGTTAGAAAACGAATTTACTAGATAAACATTATTCTACTCACGTGTCTGGAGGGACATCGCACTTATTGTCCTTAGTCTTTGGCCTCGAATCGAACAGCAGCCACTTGATTACATGAGCTTGAAGCGCTGACAGCAAAGATCTGTATAAAACGAATTGTGTTGAAAAAGAACAAAGCCAATTTCAATCTTATATTACTTTTAGAATAAAGTCGAAAATTCATTAAAGAATTTAAATAGATTGGTATAGTTTGACGACTGTGTAGTCTGATAGACGATTCATGATATGCAGGGTTTTCTTGTACCTAGTCGCAGTATGCGCTTTACCATCTTTGTTGAAATAACGTTGTTATAGTAACCAGTGAGCGAAATAAGTTATTAACGCTATACAATACCTAGCTCCATTTCTTGGGGCTGCTAGTCCATAGCCAAGTGGCTGATCAGGTGGCCTCATGACTAATGGAGTACGAATCCATTCTCCACGAGGTGGACAAGAGGCTGAGCTGAAGCAGGTAACGCGAAGTTCCTATACAAAGATATAACTGTCATTAGTGAAAAAAATAAAATGAGTCGTAAGTAATTTCAATTAATCTTTAAGAATAAAATATTTCATGCATGCACTAGATTTCAAAACAAGTAGTACCAAATTGTTTAAAATTCGCGGGTTACTTACGTGAATATAGATACTGAGAAAAGCTCTACTAGTTTCGAACAATAGAGGGGTTCTTACTAGTGAGCAGCGGTCGCAGCGATATCGCGCTGCTGCCTACTACTTTTCTCAGCATTTTTACGTGAATAACCCGCGATTTTTAGTTAATTTAGTATATGTCGCGATAGTTATTACAAAACAGAAGTACAATAAATAAATAAACCTTTTAAACTGTTAAACACAAAGCGGTCACCGGTGACTGCAACCTATTGTTCTATAATTGTGTCGATAATGACGGTACTCGACGAGTTAATATTTGGTCCTAATGATCTTTGCGGCGAGTCAGAGGACCAAAAATCAATTGTAAACGTCCGAAACGGATTACAGAAGGACTAACAAAGACTAGGATGTTCACAATATACTCACAGCCGCCAACTCTTCAGTTATCGGCTTTCCACCGACCACAGCTGGTCTAGCCCCATTCAATAACTTGTTCCTCGCGTACAAAACGCGCTCTGAAAAGGATTTATAGTTTCATTCCTCTACTCTAAAAGACAGCTTTCAATTTTGTTAGGAATTAATGCTTCGGAAAAATACGACAGGTAGTAAAACGTAGTGGATTTTATTGTTATAGTAAAGTTGTCGGAATAAATAATATAAAACAATAAAAATGACGATGACACTTTGAATTGAGCGATGAATCTTTTAATGTTTCTAAGATTTTTCAATCTTTAGATTTTTTTAAAGATAGAACAAATAGCTTTATGTGTCAAATTATCATTTATAAATAGCGCCAAAATCGTAAACTCAATAAATTATATCCTCAAATAAAATCAAATTACATGAAGGTACATTTAATAATCCATTTACGTGACAATTTCAAGAATATAACCAGCAATATTCGTAATTTCCAGAGGTATTCAAGTATCACATTTTTTTTTTCCATACCTGTCCAAGAAATCCTTACTTTCTCACATAAATGGACCCCCCTTTGAATCCTGTTAGCTGAACCATTGTTAGGATCACAATACATTCCAATTACGAAGGTTTCATACCAGATTTTTGCTGCCTCCATAACTTGAAATGTATTTAGGAAAAAACGAAAATGAAATGGACGATGGCGTCGTGCGATTCTATATTTGCAATGGTTATAGAATGATTTATCGTTTTATTTTAATTTCGTTTTTTTACAACTTTTTTTTAAGGGGGGAAAATCATCGAATGACTGCTCCCGCCTGGGTGAGGCGGGAGGGAGTTTAAGACTATTACTGACTACTAAACTAAACTAAACTAAACTATAAAAAAAAAATAAAACTAAAAAAAAAACATTTTGTAACTAAAAGTTAATTAGCAAGACGTGTCACCTAAACTAACGTTTTATGTACCATTAGGTGTCATTTATAGGTTAGTGAGAACCAATATGAAATTCAATTTCAAAGTCATTATATTTCAGTTTAGGGGTTCCTAAAAATTTAGGAAACATTCAGTGAAAACAGCCATTTTGTTTTTGGTATAGATATTTCTTTTGTATTGTCTTTTTCAATTATAAATATACGAGCCACATTATCCCAGGAGGGTTTGAAAAAAAGATGGCCATTAGTGTTGAAAACCTCAGCAATTTGGATCACCCGCAGAAAAATGTCACAATAGATTTCCGCTAGGTAATGCTTGGGCCCATCAATTACCAAGTAGAATGATAAGACGGAATTTACTTTTAGGTAAGCAAATACCTTTAAGTGTATAAAAATACTACCTGAATTTTTGCCTTTTCATGATCAGGACCACTAGTAAATGGGAGATATTAAATTTCATTCTTTCCTAAGGTCAAAATTGAATATTGATGCAAAGTTTTCACCGAGTATAATAAGCAAAATTTTTCTATTAAAGTGGCATTGCCAAAACTTGTGAAATTTACAAAAGCTACTGTTTTTAGCGTCTTTTTTGGAAAAATCAGTCGTAATTATACGCCATTACATAACCAGATAATCGAAAATAGTCTAAAAGAATTTACATAGCAACATTCCCTAAACGTTTTTCTGTATCAAAGGTCCGAAATTGGATCCAATCGAATTTAGAGTACCTCAATTTGTCTTCATTTATTTTGATCTTGACCTGAGTAGTCTTCAAGCGACTGTAAATAAATTGGATGTAGGGATTTAAATTATTCTGAGCAGCGTTCTCTTGTATCCTTGTACATACATATACGTTCATTCGCGAAATGTGAGCGAATCTTAAGCGCTTTATGAGACTGCTTGATAAAAATGGAAATTTTCCGTAAGATATTTTACAAACGATTTTGTATGGTTGAATTGGTTTTTGTATTTTATTGGGAAATCACGTATTTGACCCTAAAATAAATGTGAATGAAAAATCAAGTTTAGTATTACCAAAAGTAAGAATTTATAAATCGGTTGAAGATAGAGATTAAATATTTTAATGAAATTCTCTTGAAAACGATATTAGAAGAGAATTTTATAGAAGCTGAATTTCTTGTGTTTAATGTTTTTAAAAAGATGTCTTATAGAAGTGCAGAAAATCAAAGGTGTATGTTAGTAGATTGCCAAGTCATTGTTTGCTAAAACCGCACGTTGATATTGCGACGGCTACGTTCGTGGGAAATATGCAGGTGTACCTTTGTTCAGTATGATTTATAAAGATTTAAACACATACACTGAATCAAAATTAAAGTGGTTGTTTATAAAAATTGAAATTTATCATGAAAGATAATGGGATTTACAAAATTTCATATAAAAGAATCTAAAAGTATCGTTAGGTTGTAGACGTAGAACAAAATCACTGTGTAATTGGATATACCTACTTAAAAAAAAGAAGTAAAATTGTTCTGCAAATTAAACTCCTTAAACATAATATATAGAGAAAATTTGTTTTATCACCATGCTCCAAATAAGCATGATGGTAACTTTATAACACATTACATTTTTACAACGAATGCTAGAAAAATGTTAAAAATAAAAACACTCCCACCATAAAACTCCTCTTGCGAAGTACCGAGCACGGTCTTTCGATGCAAACTCTCTTGAGTCTGGTAGCGAAAGTACAGGTAATGCTGTGATACATGCATCTGTCCAACTGTCCAGTAGTAGCAGATCTCAACAACTTGAAGCACTCTTCGAAATAACGAACCCAACAAGCCAGCTCTTGAGCTCCAATGAAATTAGACGCAAGTTTCCAAAGTCCACGTGAGACAAGATGGACACTTCAAACACTAATTGTTTGGTTAATTTTATATTTTGGTTCAAACTGCAGTTAGAAAATATTGAGCGACATTTTTTGCCTAAACTAAATACTGGAAAGGTCAAATACAATCTGCCGATTAAATAGGGATTCGATTTTGCAGCAATAGAAAGATTAAAATCAAATTTTATACTATAAATAAAAATACGTAAATTGAGCAAAAGGCTCCAATTATTTGAAAATGTTCCAAATTTCAATAATCGTAAATGAAAAAGTTAATATAGAACTTATTGTTGCTAATTATTTTTCGCTACTGATAGTAGCAGATGATGCAGAGGTCACTTTAACCTTTTCAGTTTTGGAAAATTTTCTTGGAAATTTTTGAAGAAGCAGGAACCAGACACCACACGATTCGAAGATACCAGTACAATTGAATGCAGAAATGTACTTTTCACTTTAGTATATGGTGTAAACTAGGTGGTGTAATTGTATTCGTGCCACACGCTCGTTCAAGGGCAAGTAACATAAGCGATATATTGGATATTGAAGGCTGCAATAATAGTGTGAACGTACAGGCAGATGCAGAAATTGTAAAGCTTGAAGTGTAAATACTAAAGAATAATATTGAATGAGATGGCAAGAAGAACGTACTATGATTTTTATTTACAAAGTCAAAAAAATACCATATTTTATAGACACGGTGAGAAGCTATATTGACATGAATGTTCTTTTTCAAAAAAGTCTTGTTTTCATAACTGAATAAGGTTTCTAGTAAATGTATCCTATGCAAGTGGGAGAGCCATGCTTCGGCACGAATGGGCCGGCTCGACCGGAGTGATGCCACGGCCGAACAGAAAAACCGACGTGAAACAACGCTTGCTTGTTTCGTCGTTGGAGTGAGGTTACCAGAGGCTCAATTACCCCCTTCCTAGACCCTGTCTCCCGAATCCCCAAATCCCTACAATCCTAATACCCCATTCCCAAAAGGACGGTAACGTAACGTAAAAAGGAAGACAAATGAAGAAACATGGCATTTAAGTAAAGAATGAGTTACCTATGATGACTATGACAGTCCCTCCCAGGTTAATAAAGATTTTAAATTAAATGTCAATCATTGTGGTTACTGCGGCATGCCAGACAGATAATAGGCATATGAGGTAAAGCTATCACTGTTGCGATTTTACATCTATATATATAAAAGAAAGTCGTGTTAGTTACACTACTTATAACTCAAGAACGCCTCAATCGATTTCGATGAAAATTGGCAGGGAGGTAGCTTAGAACCAGGAGACGGACATAGGATACTCTTTTTATAGAATACTTTTTTACTTTTTACCGAAAATCACGAACGGAAACGGGGGCAAAATAGGATTGCGCGTACGAAGTCGCGGGCAGAAGCTAGTTTATTTATAAAGAGCTGTTAGTACAATGCAATAAAAGCTAATAAATAATTATACAATTGGATTTAGAAACAAATACGAAACGTTTTATTAAACTCGTATGTTTATGACTAGGCATAATCTTAAAATTGGTGTTGTGTCATAGTAACTTTTTAAGAATTCCATAACGTTACCTTCAAAAGGAGCTGGTGTGCCTTCCCGATTATTTCGAAGCATCGTTCCAAAACTGCTACAATAATATACAATTAGAATTGTTTATATATATTCTGATTACGAATCCTTACAAAGCTGTTAATTCACGTAGAAATTTGGATAAAAACTATGATGATATTAATATAAATCTCACACACTTAAGATTCACAAGTCGTAGCCAAAAAGTAACATGATTAGAAACAATTTGGGCAACCCATTGCCAGTCAATCTTCCTCATAACGTCAGCCAATCAAATTGTTCAAAATAACAATAAACCCAAAATGAGAAGCCACAAAACTTACCTGCCCCGTCAAAAATAGGTCTTAACACAACTGCACAGAGTTCAAAAGATTAGCGAAATGATGGCGAAATAATGCACGTCAAACCAGCATAGGTGATTGTTTGGAAATGGTTGCATTTGCTTGACGCCGTTCCTTTGCACATTATAATGTAGATAAGCTTGGATCGTACCTACGTGTTAAATAAAATTGTACTCAGTCAGTGGATGAGGCAGTTTTGATAATACAAAGTTGTAGGAACATTTTTGGTAGAAAGAAAATCTTGATAAGTTTAGGGAACTACTTTTATGGTAATGTAGCTAATAAATATGAAGATAAACGTTGAAGAAAAACGGAAGGCTTATCTTGATGTCTTGTGAGATATAAAGTCAAGAACGAAAAGTTGAAGATAAAGAAATTGTTCCAGATGTTTAATAATGAGTTTAAAAGATTAGTTTCTGCAAATAGGAATGGATTGTTTAGTATCTGGTAAGTACCTTTTTATTTTATCTCGTTTTTATTAAATCGTTAATCTATAATTAAAAATTTAAATATATATTTAAAGATTTAACAAAAAAAAAAACAAATGCGAAGGTTTCTAGAAATCTGTTGGTCTTATTCGAAAAACTATTTTAGCCATAATCTATTTATACAAGCAAGCAATCGACAAAGGCTTACAAAATAACTTCATCCCAGTTGAACATTTGGACCCAAATAAAACTCACAAGCGTTTTGAACAAAATAAGTCAGAGCATATAAAAATAAAGAATATCAAAACTTATTCGTGTTCAGTGAACTGTGGGCTTGATTTAATATTTAAGTTCTGAAAAACATATCAAGAGAGACGTAAATCCTAGACCAAACTTTGTATATTATACCTAACATGACTATTCGTCCCTCACGCCACCTACCGACCTTATAGGAAATTAATATTTTATTTTTAGCGCCAATATCGAGCGTGTGTTCGTGTATCAGGGCAATAATATAGCGCGGCCATATTTTAAAATGGCGTCAGGAACGAATTTAAAAAAGACCGTTACATTCGATGCGATTTTAGAATTGTTTTTCTATTTTGATTTACGGTGTCGCATTTTTTATTTGTCAGTTTCCCATACAGGTTTTGGATTTGGAAAAAAATAAAACTTTACGGTAGTAAATCTTTTTGCAGTTTTTTTTGGTAACATAGAGTGAAATTCGACATGTTAGGCGGAACAGTGAACCGAACAGTATTTGATACTCCTGTAACGACACATCAAAAAGGTTCTACAAATTAATAACAGCGCAAAACATACCTTTAATATAGTAGGTACTTTAAATGTTATTAAAATACACACACACCACACACACACACATACTCATACACGTAACTATATATAGTTATCATTTTACATTTAAGTATATATTTATTACATAGTATTGCCATTTTTATCTTTTATGTATTATATGTAGTCTGTAAGTTTCATTGATTGTTTAATTTGTTTTTTATTGTTTTTCTTCTATTTTGGTTTTCTTTTATTGTGCATCTACCACCCATTCCCAGATTCTTTTCAAAAATTCCATCGAAAGGTTGTCTGGAAGAAATCGCCGTGTGTGATAAGACCGCCCATTGTACTCAAATTACTATTGAAATGCTTACAATTTTTTCTATGTGTGCAATAAAGTATATATAAATAAATAAAATTTTATGTATGTGCATCGCAAAGGTGATTGTTTCTCCTTGTTTAATTTAATAACAATAAAAGCCTACCTTTCCTGTTTGGTTTTCTATCACGTGCAGTCTGCATGATGTGATCCGGCGAGAAACGCCTGCCTAATGCTAATTGGCGAACTAAGTCGATGACTTTGCTACCGAAAATGTTGTCTTGGGAGTTAGAATTTATAAGAAAGAGGCGGAATTACTACATAAGTTCTAGGGTTTTGTATCGAGCAAACATGTTTTATGGAAATCTATTTTAACTAAAATTGCTTGTTTATAATTCTTTATACCATGATTTTCCTATAAAAAATATCAAATATTTCTTGTTCATACCATCAATTAATTATTAATTATAGTCTCATTGGTTCAGTATTCGCTATTGCGAGTATAAGACAAGCTTATAAACAAAAAATTGTTTTGCATAAACTCGCCTAAATGTTTTACTTATACCAAACTCGAAACACAAAGTGCGATTATGCATCCACCAGTCTATTCGTCAAGATAAGCAGAATTTTACATACTATGTTCGACTCAAAAGATCTTGCCTTCGTATATAAAAAATATGACATCCGAACTATTTTTCATTCACTGTGTAGTGTAACAATATAATAGTTCAAGAAAATGTGAATTACTTCAGTATATTATTTATTTTCAATCAAATAATTTAATTTTATACGGAGTAGAACTACATTATGACTGCACGGTTTTGCGAAGGCTGGGCAATCAACTACCGCGCAGCATGTAGCGGTTTCGATTCCCGCATGGAACAATTCTTTGTGCGATCCACAAATTGTTGTTCCAGGGCTGGGTGTCATGTGTGTGTGAACTTGTATGTTTGTAACGCACCTACGACACAGGTGAAAATCGTAGTGTAGGGCAACATTTATTTAAAATACATATGTTTTTTTGTAAGGGGGAAAATCATCGAATGACTCCTCCTGCCTGGATGAGGGAGGGAGTGTCAGATTCTTACTGACTAAAAACCACCCCGTTCCTACTCCTGCACTTCGAGTCGAAGCCCCGGTAACCCGTTAAGTTCTCCGCGGCTCCGTATCGGCATCAGCCCTGTTGGGCTCCATCCGTGGTGGTCTGATGGATTTTTTAGGCCCGCGCGGAATGTGAAGCGTCGCAAGCTCGGGTCTGGTTCTGGTCGGGCGGCGAGCTGCCCATGCTCGCCATCCGTAGGCCCGTGCTTACGGTAACCGGAGATTGTTCTGCGATCCCTGATACCCGGAGTGTCCGTCACAAAATATATATGTTTACATCCATATTTTCGTAAGATTTGCTCCTTGCGGACATTTTCCTTACAATAGGATCTGTCTTTAAAACAGTAGTGAGCACGTATTTACTATCATTTACCTTTATTAAGGTCTATTTTAATAGTCTTCTGGAAATACAAATGTGAATTTAAATTTGCATAAATCCAAGTATCAAAACTAACAATGAAAATTAAAGCAATCTCACTGAACTGCTAAACGATGTATACCACGAAGGTGTTTTGAAGGTTATCTACTATGAATACGCGGAAATAATATCACACGTAGCAGAGTACAGTTAATGCCATAAAGAACTAGATTAATGGTATGGCACAGCATGCCAAAAAACCTGTCATTGATTTGAAAATGGCGTTGATATAAAAACATCTAAAAGCAAATATTTCAATTAAACCATAAATTTGTACTTTTGAAACGTCAAAAAATACAAAAAAAATAAACCGCTGAGGAGTTCTCTAGACTGTCTGTTGGCTCCATCATCAGGTCGACTTCAGACCCTTATCAAATTGTAGTGTTTAAAAATCCAAAATGAAAAATATAATAGACGCATTACTCGCCTCTACAATTTTCATAAGTCCCCTCGGTGATCCCATCATCAGATCCTGATTTCATGGATATAGGACCATCTCGGAGTATATCCTTTCAAACAAAACAATAATTTTGGAAATCGGTTCACAAAACGGCGGAGTAATGCGCGAACAAACAAAAAAAAAACAATCAGAAGAACATAGTACCTCCTCCGTTTTTTGAAGTCTGTAATAAAAGTCTGTCAGTCTATACGTCAATGAAGCTAGAGCTAGGAGAAGAACGAGCAAGAAACTCCATTCGTTTCTCTTCTACTGTTTAATGTTGGGCAATAACTGTCATGATACCTTATTCAGTTTTTGTTAAATCAATATTACATATATATAAATATTTTATAAATGTTTGATTATTATTATAGTACCTAAAATTTGATGATTTAATCATTGCGATGGTGTCAATGATTCATATTATGAATAATATTCAATTCTTAATGAAATTTGTACACAGATTCGTCATATTTGATTTTTAAACATAATTATTAACAAACCATTTCAAAAGCTGCGACAAACTGTTTTACATATTGTTTGGTGTAATAATACTATACTATGTAAAAAAATTATCCTTGAATTATTATATTTTTTTCTTCTCAATAACGTCAATTGATTAAAAGTCTAGGTTATATAATAAAATAAAAATAAAATACTTTACCCTCATAGTCTATTTCGCGATCCGGCGAGAGAAGTCTCAATCTCTTATCCATTATTCCATCCTTCTTCTCATTCTCTTCCTTTTTCTGCTTTTTGATTGCGTCATAGTCCATTTCATTCCGACACTTTGGCGTTTTGTTATACACTAAATATTTTGTCAGTTGATCCATGTTTTAAACTTATGTTTCTTTTCTTTATTCGTGTCACTTTGAATGTTTATTCATTGTTTTAAGTTTTCATTTTTTTATGTTCTGTTTGCTTTTACTCCAAAAATACAATTTACAAGAGGTAAATTGTATTTTTTATTTGATATTTTGTTTAATGAATATGCGATGATGATGTATTATTAGTTTTTGTTTGAGATCACTGTATCAGAATATTAAATTCAAACATACTTTATATTTGTTCAATGTCGAGTTTGCTATAAAAATAATAATTCTATTTATATTGGTTTTATATTGGAACGGGATTTATCTTCAGCCAGTTACTATTTTATTGAACAGTTTATATGACTTTTAATTCCAAATATTTTTTTTTAACATGAAAGTGCTATAATTTTATCAACAAACAAAAAGAAATAACTTTATAACAACAACAATCAAAATTCTGAAAGGATATCACCCAAATCCATCCACACCTACTGCCTCCTGAATCGCGGGCGAAGTAATTCTCTTCGCGTCAAGCAATGCTTATGCAAATTACAATTTACATTTGCCGGATGAGTGGGCCATAGCGTCGCTTATCGTGTGACGACTGCTAATCTGTTTGTCGTTAAGATGTTTGAGAATTTCAATGTGTATGTGTTTAAACGTAAATCACGTTGGCTGAAGTATCTGGGTAGTTAAGTAAAGTATCAAGGACGATTGTAAGTTAGGTTCTATAGGGTATATTTGGGAAAGTGTGATTTTATCTATAAAGTGTTTTTTAAGGGGGGAAAAATCATCGAATGACTGCTCCCGCCTTTGTGTCAGACTCTTACTGACTGAAAACCACCCCGTTCCTTTTCCTGCACGTCGAGCCGGAGCCCCGTGTAAGTGTATTTTTAATAACCTATATATTTTGAGTTTACCGTTGTGGTGCCCCGGAGGTAAAGACGCCCGCTGCTCATGAATGACGGTGCGGCTGCGAAACCTACCAACGGCAAGAACCAATTAAATTTTTCCAAGTTATATGTAGGTACTTTCTAAGAATATTTTGACACCACCAAACAGCAAAGGAAAACATCGTAAGGAAACCTGGACTTATAATTTCTAATTATAATTTCTAATTATAAGTTTGAAATCGCCAACCCGCATTGAGCAAGCGTAGTGATTAACGCTCAAACCTTCTCCGTGAGAGATGAGGCTTTGCTCAGCAATGGGCACTTATAGGCTGTTGATGATGATGATACATTTTGGGAAAAGAGGTATTAAAGGTAAAAGGATATAAACCTACTTTAAACTACGAATCAAGCTACTAATTAACTTTTATTTACGACTAGTATTTTCAGAACTCAAAAAATAAGAGGAAATTTCCATCTATCCTTCATTTTCTTTCGCAATGATGGGAGTGTAAATTGAACTTTATGAAGATCACTAGATCACAACTATTAAATTTAAACCATATAACATAGTTAATAGAGCTGAACATAGTATATCACCATTACGTGTGTGTCATACTCATACTATGTCATAGTACAAATGTGCATATAATTCACAGTTACATAGACTATAAAATAGATGATTTTGTATGTTAAGTGAACACCTGCATCGCTCGCTTATCGCAGCTAGGCTTTTGACAGTGATGGCTTTGTACTCGGACCAAATAATATTGATATTTGGGAACAATGGACGGCATAACAATAGCTGTGTGGCATGATTAGTATTTAGTTGTTTGTTAATGTATTGTAATTAATATTCTAGTATTAATTATGAATTAAATTTTAATGGAATACTAGATTCTATCAGTACACACGTAATAAATGAACAACTAATATTATTGTGATGTTGATTCATTACGAATATTCCTTTTGCTAATTAATTAGTTAGTCATAACATAGTTTACGGGGAATGTATGTGCATTGCAATTATGTATTGAAATTCTGAAAGTGATATTATTAGCATTTTTAAAATATGCGATAGGGTTTTGTTGATAATTAGAATTTCTGTTTAATTTAAAATAATTTCGACTGGTTTTTGGGTGGCCTTTACAAAAAAGAATTTGCACTAAAATTTTTAATTTTTTTACCATGGTTTACAAAACGTTTTATAAAATACTAGCGACCCGCCCCGGCTTTGCACGGGTGCAATATGTATGATCCTTCCTTAAGAATCACTCTATGTGTAAATAAATCGCAAAAGTAGTTTTAAAGATCTAAGCATACATAGAGGCAGAAAGACGGTGGATAGCGACTTTGTTTTATACTATGTAGTGATACTACCTTTTTTTAACACAG